GCAGCAGCAGCAGCAGCAGCAGCGGGAGCGTCGGGGGAGGGTGGAGGCTGCTGGGGCTGCTGCTGCTGCTGCGCAGCAGCAGCTACAAGAGCCAGGAGCTCGTCCACGCTGCTGCAGTCGTTGAGAGCAGCAGGAAAGTCTGCTGCAGTGACAGCTGGAGGCAGCAGCAGCGAGAGCACGGCGCCGTCTGGGGGGGGGTGTACGTACACCTGAGGCAGCAGCTGCCCCTGCCACTTTTTGTTAACAAGAGGGTCGAAGACAGCTTCGCATGCAGCGTCATCTTCTGCTGCTGCTGCTGCTGCTGCTGCTGTTGCGGGGTCGGGTTTGGCGTTGCTGCTGCTGGCGCGCTGCTGCGCGGCGCTGCTGCTGCTGCTGCAGCTGCGGCCGCCGCCCGCGTGCCGCCGCTGCAGCCGCTGAGTTGCTGCTGGCTTTTTCTTGACAATTAAATCAATTAAAGAGTTTGCTGCTGTCTCCTTTTCCCTATAAGCAATTCCCGTGTCTCTTGTTTGGTAAGGCGCATGCAGCAGCAGCTGCTGGTGGTGCAGCAGCTGCTGCAGGCTCGGGCTGCGCGACACAGGCAGCCACGAGAACACGCTCGACTCCGCGCACACCAAGCTGCTGCTGCTGCTGCTGCTGCTGCTGCTGCTGCTGCTGGGGGCGGCGGGCCCGCTGCTGCCGGGCCTGCAGCTTCTCCGGGGACTTGAGTCCGCCCCTGCAGCAGCTCCCAGCTGCTGCTGCTGCTGCTGGCAGCGCGGAGACGACGCAGCGCGGCGCGGCAGCTGCTCAGCAGCTGCTGCTGCGCCAACTTCGGGCCCGTCGCTGCTGCTGCTGCTGCTGCTGCTGGCAGCATCAGCGGGAGGACCAGTGTACTCTCGCTTCTCCGCCCCATGGGCATACGCAGTGCTGCAAGATGCGCGGGCTTGCTGCTGCTGCTGCTGTTGCTGCCGCAGCTGCTGCTCCTTCTGATGCTTTTGCTGCTCCTGCTGCAGCTCTTGCTGCAGCTTCTCCAGCTGCTGCAGCAGCTGCTGCTCCTCGTCCTCCTCCGTCTTCGGAAGTGCGCTGTCTCCTACTGCTGCTGAAATGTCTTCAGAAGACAGCAGCAGCGACACTGTTTGCACTGCCGCTTGCTGCAGCAGCTGCTGCTGCTGCAGCACTTGCTGTTGCTGCTGCTCCCCCTGCCCCTGCTGCTGCGCCTGCTGCTGCTGCAACAGTTGCTGCTGCTGCTGCAGCAGCCGCTGCTGCTGCTGGTAGCGTTTGCTTCTTTCTGTCAGCAGAGGCACGGCGAACTCAATGAACTGACTGCTTTGCTGCTGGTGCTGCTGCAGCAGCTGCAGCAGCTGCGGGTGTACCTTGGAAAAGTACTGCGTGTCTTTTTGCTGCCAGAAAAGCTCCTCTTCGCTTTCTCCTGCTGCTGCTGCAGCAGCAGCGCCGCAGGCAGAAGGGGACCCCGAAGGGCCGCCGTGGCACTCAGACGGCATCCCTGCTGCTGCTGCTGCTGCTATTGTTGCTGCTGCTGCTGCTCCTCCTCAAGGTGGATGTGGCGGTGGTGCTGCTGCTGCTGCTGCAGGTTAGGAGAGGCAACATTGGGGGGGGAAATCGCAGCGCCGTTACTCCCAAGAACGTGCTCTCGTGCTGCTGCTGCTGCTGGCACTCCTGCTGCTGCTGCTGCTGCTGTTGCCCTAGTTGTTGCTGCCACCGGCGCCGCTTACAGCTGCTTTTATCTGGTGAGCAAGGTGTCCTGTTGTCCAAGTGAGGTGGTTGTTGCTGCTGCTGCTGCTTCTGCTGCTGCCGCAGGGCCCCCCGAGTTGGCAGTGGTGCCGGTTCGCTGCTGCAGCAGGGGGGCCCTGGTGTATGTCCAGCAGCAATTAAAGAGAAAAAGAGACAAAAAGAGGCACTTGCTGCTGCCGTTCTTGCTGCTGCTGCTGCTGCAGCACCCAGCGGGCGGCAGCAGCAAGACGGAGGCGCCGGGGAAGAGCAGCAACAGCAGAAGAGCAGCTGCTGCAGCAACGCGAATAGGACAAGCAGCAAAAAACCCTACACGCAAATGCATTACCAATTTAACAAACAGACAGGAGACACAACAAAGACAGCAACTGCAGCAGGCAGCAGCAGCAGCAGCGAAGGCTGCTGCTGCTGTTCTCTGGGGAGGCCCCTCGTCGTCGCTGCTGCAGCTGCATTAAACGACTTCTTGCTAGGGTTTAGGGTTTAGGGTTTAGAGTTTAAGTAATAGCATTTAGGGCTTGTGGTTTAGGGTTTAGCAGCGCAGCAGCAACACCACCAGGGTGTTGTTACAGAATCGCCCCTTGATGGTGGGGCCTCACGGGTCTACTGCGTCTCTTGCTGCTGCTGCTGTTGTTGCTGCTGCAGCTGTTGCTGCTGCTGCTGCAGCTGCTGCTGCACCACTTGCCCTTTGTTGCGCTTCTTCGGACTTCCTGTCTCTGTGCCCCTCGCGGGACACCCCACACTGGGTGGCGGTTTTGCTGCTGCTGCTGCTGCTGCTGCTGCTGGTCCCTTCCAGAACCAGCGACAGCAACAGGATCATCCGCTGCTGTAACAGTTGCCGCTGCTGCTATACCAGTTGCTGCAGGTGCTAGCGCAATTGTTTTTGCAGTTGCTGCTGCAGTTGCTGCTGCTTCTGCAGCAGCAGGAGCAGCAGCAGCAGCAGCAGCAGCAACCTTTCGCCAGCGATGCAGCTGAAGGGACTACGAGGTCACTTACTGTCTCTTCCACTGCTGAGGGCACCAAGCTCTGAACATTTAGCTGAAACAGCTATAGGAGGAAAGGACAGTTGTATGCTGCTGCTGTTGCTGCTGCTGCTGCCGCTGCTGCTGCCTTTGCTGCTGCTTTTGCTGCTGCTGCTGCTGCTGCTGCTGCTATTGAGGACCACTGAAACGTGCAGCGGGCGTGGCAACTGGCCCCACACGCAGCAAAGGAGACACCTCTCAGCCCAAGTCGTGGGCTCTAGCCGCAGCTCTGCAGCAGAGCCCTAGTTGCTGTTTCCCGCAACAGCAGCAGCAGCAGCAACAGCAGCAGCAGCTACAGTGGAAGCTGATCGAGTGGGCACTTAAATTTTAGACCCAAAATATGGGGTAGAAGGCTGCAGCAGCAGCAAGGGCGGCTGCTGCCCGTGACTGGCAGTCTGGCTGGGTTTCCGGGGGGCCCCCAAAGGCCCCCAGGGGCCCCCGGGGGCCCCAGCGGTCCCCCGCGAGCCCCAGGGGCCTCCATAGCAGCAGCAGGGGTCCCCTATAACAGCAGCAGGTTCTGCAGCAAGAGGATCTTGCTACTGCTATCAGGGAGGCCCTGCAGGAGGAGCAGCTCTTGGCCAGCATTAATTTCTTTTTGTCTCTAATGACTATTTTCCAGAAAAGCAAAAGAAAGCTTTTTAAATTTTGAAACTTATAAGTTCCTGCTGCTCCAGGCTAAACCCCGGGGCCCCCAGCTGGGGCCCAGCAGCAAAATGCAGCTTCAGGCAGCAGCAGCAAATTTCTCCATTTGCCTCCTTACTGCTGCTGGCTTGCATGTGCCTGAGTGTGAAGTCACTTTTATTCATTTTGGATTGTTTGGAATAAAAGGAAGTCTTAAAGAATTAAGAATCTAAAAGATAAAGAATATAAAAAAGAAAAGAAACTTTTTGATATTTTTTTTGCTGCCATTTTGTTGCTGCAACTTGCCAAAGTTGGCTGAAAGTGGTTTTCCGTTCTTTTCTGATTTGAAGGAAGAAGAAAGACTACACCGACAAAAGACATTTCGTTTAATAAAATTAATTTAATAATTTTGAAAGGTCTTGTGCAAATCTGAAGAATCTTATTTCTAAATGAGCCTCAGAAAGCATTTAATAGTCTTCTTGTGCCACAGCCAATACAGTGGGGTCTTCACTTCTTTTAAAAAACATTTTAAAACTTTAAAGCTTTACAACGGGAGCCAATTCATTCAGCGGGGCCCCGCTGCTGCTCTTGTCTTGCTGGAGAAGCAAATGGACAAATAAGGACAAGAGCACTTGGCTTGGTCTTGCTTTGCAGGTTTCTTTGAAAAATCATGTTTTAAGGACTCAAAAGTGCCTTTTTGGAAACTCAAGACTATCTAGGCTTTCTAGAAAACTCAGAAGCACTTGCACTTTGAACTGGGAACTCCGAGATCCAGAAATGAAAAAGGATTTTCTTTTTCTCTTTGCGGAAAGTCCAGCAGCTGCAGCGCATGCACTAACTGTCGTTTGCAGCCTCTAGTGGGGTAATCGCGGGGACAGAAGGCCGGTGGTTTTCTCGCTCGCTCGCTCACTCACTCACTCGCTCGCTCGCTCGCTCACTCGCTCGCTCGCTCGCTCGCTCGCTCGCGTGAAGTGATTTGGGAAAGTTTTCGAAGTTTCGAACTTTGAGTGTTTTCAAGGAGGAAACAAATTTTGCCTTTTCTCTCCCCACAGCCGGGGTCAAAAACCCCAAATTAGGGTTTGGGGGCGTTAACAGCTTTCAAGTTTTCAAAAAGATCAAAGTTTTCCTTTTGGGGCTGTCTCTCTTATCCCCAGTATCCGCCTGCCTCCTGAGTGTCTCTTCTCTCATGAGAACTGTCTCTGTCTCTTCACTGTCTCTAATTCCCAGAGGCTGCCTCTGTCTTCCTAGTGTCTCTAAAGAGAAAGCTGTCTCTGTCTCTTCACCGCCTCTCTTCTCTCCAGAAAACTGTCTCCGTCTCTTCACTGTCTCCCCTCTTTCCCCAAAAAACTGTCTCTGTCTCCTCAATATCTCTTCTCTCATAAAAACTGTCTCTGTCTCCTCACTCTCTCTTATCGCAAAAACTGTCTCTGTCTCTTCGATGTCTCTTATCTCAGAAAATTGTCTCTGTCTCCTCACTGTCTCTTAACTCAGAAAATTGTCCGTGTCTCCTCACTGTCTCTTATCTCAGAAAACTATCTCTGTCTCTTCCTTGTCCCTTATCTCAGAAAATTGTCTTGGTCTCCTCACTGTCTCTCATCTCAGAAAATTGTCTCTGTCTCCTCACTGTCTCTTGTCTCGGAAAATTGTCTCCGTCTCTCCAGTGTCTGTCTCCTCGCAGTCTCTTATCTCAGAAACTGTCTCCTTATCTTCTGCAGCCCAGCTGGAGGCAAAGGGCCCAGCGGGGCTGCGCAACCTTTGGGGGCTGCCAGAAATGGCCTTCAGTCTCTCAGAGTTGAATGAAATGAAAATTCAATTAGAAAGTTGCATTTGAGAAAAGTAAAAAAATGAAAAGCAAAGGGACTTCGTCCTCGGGCGATAAGTGGGATTTGCTGGAGCTGGCCAGAGATGCTGCGCTGCATCCAGGAGAGAACAAATGGACTTCTTTGAAGTTGGAGGCCAAAGAAAAAGACATTTAAACATTTTAGATAAATAAATGGCGCCTTTAAGCAGCAGTTCTAGACGGGCCCAGGTGCAGTTCTAGAATGAGATCCGAAGAGACAAAAACCGCAAAATTACTTTAAGTTCATTTCGCTGCATCAGCATTTCCACAGAAAGCGCAGCAGCAAGGGAAGCAAAATTCCTTCAAGGGCTTTCCGCAGTGCAGCAAAATCTGTCTTCGACTCTAAAACACAAATGGGGGTTTTGGGAGAGCAGCAGGCAGCAGAAAGAGCGCCCGCAGCCTGCTGCAGTTGCTGCCAGCAGCAGGCTGGGGGCCCCCTTGATGCAGCAAAAATGGCTGCATGCATTTGAGCCCTTATTTCGAGGGGGCCCCAAAAGGCAGCTACGAGGAATGCTGCGCTGCTGCGGGGCCACAGCAGTTCGCATTCTTGTGGGGGGCAGCAGCAAGTGCTGCAGAAGATGCATGCAACTAAAGATACTCTCTTGCTTTTTCTGCTGCTGCAGTTGTCCTTTTTACCTTTCTTGTTCTTAGCTGCTGCCCGTCTCAAAGGGGTTCTTCTGCTTTTTGCAGAATTTTATTCATTGGAACTAGAGAGTGATATAAGGTATTAAGTAAATTAGAAATCAAATTAAAATAAACCAAATGTTAATTGCAAAAGGATTCGAGAGCTAAGTGCCCCCCAATCCCACCAGCTACGGCTCAGGGGCCCTGGGGGCCCCCTTTCTTTTTCAAAAAGGCAAAAGTGTAAATTTGAAAAAAAACAAAAAAAGGCCATTTGGACTAAAAGGTCCAGTAAAAACAGCGCCGGCCAGTGGGAGTCTCAGAGGCTCCGGGGAGGCAGGAAATGAGTGAACAAAGAAATAAATTGAAAACAAAGAAAAGGGAAAAATAATTGCTGCAAAAGGAAAAGAAATAAACCGGTAATTGGATTAATAAAGGAAGAAATTGGCAAACGAGATAAAAGAAAAAGATGTATATCAAAGGGGAGAAAAACAAAAAAGAGAAAACTGAGAAAAAAAAGACGTAAATTGGAACACAAACACTGCGCGTCTGCCTCCGCCACTCATTTTCTCCTTTTCTCCACTGCATTGTTTTAAAAATAATTATTCATTCTTTTCTTTGCAGAAAGTTTCTTCTTTTTGAATTAAAAATACTGAAAAAAACATTTGGCAGACACATTAACTACTGGGCTCAACTGGAGGCAGAAGCACTTCGCACTGAAGCTGAGCTGAAGAATTAACCTTTTCAGTTTTTTTGAAAAAAGAAAAATGAAATTTGAAATAAATCTATTTGAGGCCTTCTGAAGATTCTTTTTTGAAGACCCCCGGCAAAGGCCTGCAGGGGAGTTTCAGCAAAGGCTGCAGGATTTCTCCACATTTTCTTCTTTTTCGTGAAGTGCATTTTAAATGGTTTTTGATTTGATGCAGCAGCTTTAGCAGCAAAATTGGGGAAAAAGAATTAAATTTGCTCCGACGGTTTTCGTTTTAAATGCCACAAACAAATCCCCAAACTTCCCCTAAGGGCGCCCACTGGGGCCAGTCCAAACAGTAAAACGTTGCATGCAGCAGGGCCCCCTGCTGCAGCAGCAGCCCGCAGCTGTGGAGCTTTCGGGGCTTTTGGCCTTGCATGCGCACCAGCTGTATGCGTAGCAGCTGCATGCGCAGCAGCAAAGTTCAGCAGCAGCTCGAGGCAGCTAAGGCTGCGTCGCCCGCAGAAGCAGCAGCACCTGCGGCCACTTTCCGGCTGCCCCATGGGGGCTGCTGCCGCTGCGCGGCAGCAGCTTTGGGCTGCTGCTGCTGCAGCAGCAGCAGCAGCAGGACTGCTGCTGCTGCCGTTGCAGGGCCTCGGGCCCCTGCGGGGTTTGCACCTGGGCTTTGCTGCTGCAGCTTTTGGGGCCTAGACTAAAACCCTAGTGCAGCAAAAGGGCCCCCTAACAAAGTCCACTAGGGTGAAGTGGCAGCAGCTCGTGCTGCAGCAGAGCGGAGCAGCAGCAGCAGCGCTTCTGGCCACCAAGGCTTGCTGCAGATGATCTGCTGCTGCTGCATAGTGCTGCTTCAACTTTTATTGGCTGCTCAGCTAAGACAAGAGAAGAGAGGGCCGCCACACGCAGCGCACCGCAAGCGGCCGAGCAGTGTGGGGTCTGCTGCTGCTGCGCTGCTGCTGCTACTGTTTCGCGTTTTATTTCTTTGAAATTTTTTCATTTATTGAAATTTAATTAGAAGATTTAAAAAGAAAAAGGAAGAAAAAGGGTTTGGCGGCAGAGGCGCGCAGCTCCGCGGTGAGCGCTCTCGGCGCAGTGACACCAGCAGCAGTACCAGCAGCAGCAGCAGCAGCAGCTGTGCAGCTGCTGCTCCTCAGTAAGGCCAAGGCCCTCTGCTGGAGCCGCTAACATGAAAAAAGCAGCTGTTTAGAATCTTTGTTTAAATCCTTTTCCTCATTTGAGGGTTTTAAGTGTACTTGGCCGCTCGCAGCCCCTGCCTCCTCCATTCTTTGCCGCTCACTGCAGCAGCAGCAGCAGCAGCAGCAGCAGCGGGAGAGCCGAGCCGCGGCCCGTCGGTGGCGTTCTTCTTTTTAAACTGTTTTTTCCTCTTTTTGCTGCAGCTGGGGAGCTGCCTATACACCTGAATCGGGATGCGAGGCTATGGGATTAGTTCAAGGAGCTGCGGATACACCGCAGCTCTGGCGCTGCGGCTGCTGGCTGTTGCAGCAGCAGCAGCAGCAACGGCAGCAGCAGCAGCAGGCCGGGACTTCCTGGGAGCAGCAGGCAGCGCTGCTGCAGTGCAGCAAGAGCGCACAGTGGTGGTGACTGGCAGCAACGTGCCCCCCCTGTTCATGAGGGGCGACGCTGCTGCTGCTGCTGCTGCTGCAGGCGCCCCCGTGTCCCTCGAGGGACCCCTCATGGGGCAGCCCGAAGCAGACCCCGCAGGTGCAGCAGCAGCACCGGCAGCAGATCCTGTTGCTGCAGCAATTGCTTCTGCCCGCGGCCGCACGGCGCTGCAGCGCTACTTCATGCAGTCCGCAATGTTGCTGCTGGGGCTTTATTTGCTGCTGCGGCTGAATTCGGTGAAGAGGAGGGGGCAGGGGGAGGAAGCAGCAGAAGCTGCAGCAGCAGCAAAAGACAAAGCAGCAGCGGCAGCAGCAGCAGCAGAGAGAAGGGGCCAGCCCCGCAAGCCCCGCCCCGACCCCGAGAAAGTGCGCCGCAGGCTGCTGGAAATGGACCGGAAGCAGCAGCAGCAGGAAGCAGCAAAGAAGCAGGTGGGAGCAGAGCAGCAGCAGCAGAAGTCCATGGGGTGGTTCCCGTGGTTCGGTGCTGCTGCTGCAGCAGCAAAAGACGAGAAGGCTGCAGGCCAGCCAACGCAGAGGGCCGGGAAACCTTGAGCTGGCGAAGCAGCGGAATTGTTTTCAATTGAAAACAATTAATTATTAAATAATTAAATATATAATTAATTAATTAATTAATTAATTTTGATCCCAAAATTCCCAGATGCAGGCAGCAGCCAGGTGTATCGACACCCGGGAAGCTGTCAGAGTTTGTGTGCCGCCACAGGCACAGCAGCAGCAAAGGACTGAGCAGCAGCAGCAGCAGCAACAGCAGCAGCAGCAGCAGCAGCAGCA